CTTGACATTTCCAGGAATTCTGGGTCCTTCCTTTCTTTTTTTTTGGTTGGTCATGGGGCTTGAACTCTAGGCTTGGGCACTGTCCCTCAGCTCTTCAGTTCAAGGTGAGCACTCTACCGCTTGAGCCACAGCGCTACTTCCAGTTTTCTAGTGGTTTATTGGAGATAAGAGTCTCATGGACTTTCCTGCCCAGGCTGGCTTTGAACCTCGATCCTCAGATCTCAGCTTCCTGAGTAGCTAGGACTATAGGGGTGAGCCACCGGCACCCGGCTTCTCGGTCCTTTCTTTAGTTCCAAAAACCACATTGATTCACCACATGACATTGGCCAATTTCTTTGCATCTCAGACATGAGTTTTCCACGTGGAAGATGCAGGTATTGGATCAGGGATAATCAATGACTTTTTACCTTGAGTGCGATTTCCTATCTCTCAGTGTGGACCGCCTCTCTGATGCAAAGGAATGTCTGATCCAAGGTGGGAGATCTGTGAACTGACTAGTAATGTCTTCTATGGGTCTAGAAATAAGAAATGACACAGAAGAGCCAGCTTATTCTTGTTTGGGGACTTGAGAACTCTTCAATTCTTGATAGTTCAACAGGTCTGGGACATCTTTAAAAAAAAGTATTCGTGTGACTGGAAAAACAGAGTGAAGGAACCTAACTTCCTGTATTTATGTCTGGCTCAGGGCAGGGGGCCACTAAGCCTCCATCCTGCCAGCACAGAACTCAAGAGATAACTTGAGGCTTTGCAAAAGAGAAAATGGCCGTGGGCTGGTGTCTCCCTTGTGTTTGTGAAGAAGTCAATCTGCAGCTGTGGCGTTGGCCACCTCATCCTGAAACCATGGGAAAGCCACAGCTGTCGAAAGCATCCATCTGACCTTGGCTTTGCCCTTGCTCCCTGTCTCGTGTTTCGTGGAATGCTCTCAAAGCCACACTTCTGGGGTTGATTTAGAAACCTCGGCTTCTATTGATTAATCTCCCCGACAGCACGAGTGCTACCTGCACACTCTTGGGTAGATTTCCCAGCAGGAAGTGGAGCCTGCTCTCTGTCTTGACTCAGTAGATCCAAGGCCCATAGAGGGCTGACGTTATTCCTAAAATTGTGTGTGTTCTGTTGAAGCGACATCAGCGCTGCCCACTGGCAAGCAAGCATGGATTCTATTTGGAGGAGGGGAAGTCCTGGGGTGGGGGAATATGGGGCAGGGGAAGGTTGCTGCGTCTCAAGTGAACTTCACCAATGCACCATAGCTTCCACAGAGAACAGCAGGCTGCATTGAAGAGTCTGGAGCAACAGCTGTGCCTTCCAAATCAAGACACTGTTCAGAAACTTGATCCAAATATGGGCCGTATGCCTCAGCAGGAGTTGGTGGGACTTTTTCCCCTCAAAAGTCCCTTTGTGCTCTAAAGGGATAGGGCCTTCACCTCACGTGCGGCTCACATATGAGGGATGACTTGGCGTTCTCAATTTACATCTGGCCAGTGGCTAGAAATAAACCTTCAAAATGCCCAGGCGACCTGATGGACAATATCTGGCTTGTTCAGACTTGTTCGGAATGGCCTGAGTGAGTACTAGGACTCTTGTTCGGCTCAGGCTGCCTAAGCTAAATGAGATTGGGCTGTTGCAAAGGCCAAGGATTCAGTGTTTTGAATCAATAGCCCTTATTATTACGATTAGATTTAGCATCTCTGTATGTTTCATATTCTACTCTGTCCTCTTTCCATTTGGTGCAAGATACAGTCAAGAATGAAGCATCGATAACAAAAGCGGGGTACTGACACAAACACGGACCTCAAGATGAATGGAGCAGACGTGACCCAGAAATAAATCCATATCCTCACAGCTATCTGACATTTGACTAGAGCCAAAAATATACATTGGGGGTTAAAAAAGAAAAAACGATGACATCTTCAATGAATGTGGAAGACTGAAACTGGATCCATCACTTACCTAGCACTAAAATCAATTCAAAATGGATCAACATGGATGAAAGGCCTCAACATAAGACTTGAAACTACTACAAGAAGGCATAGAGGAAACAATTTATTGGCATAGGAAGGCTCTTCCTAAGTAGAAATCCAAGGACTCAGTCAGTAGAAGTGACAAATAGAATTGTATCAATCCAAAAAGTTACTTCATAGTAAAGGTACAGTCACTAAGCTAAAGGGACAGCTATATTCTGACAAGAGCCTAATAACTAAAATACGTAAGGATTTAAAAAAAAGTAAACTCTCAAAGAATCCATAACCCAATTAAGAAACAGTCAAAGAAGCTAAACAGAAACTTCTAAGAAATAAAAATGACCAATAAACAGATGAAGAAATGTTCATCATCTCTGGCTATAAAAGAAATGCAAAGCAACACAACTCTGGGATTCCATCTCCTGCCAGTAAAAATGGCTCTCTAGATGAGAGGCTTGTTTTCAGATAGCTTCATGTTGTCATCTTTGGGATTTCTCTTAAATTCTAGAAAGTAAGATGATTTCAAAAAGTTAAGAACGTGCTTGAACAGAATCTGTTCCTACATCAGGATAAATCCTTTTCAGGATTATTTTGTCCGCATAAAATTACGCTTGAAAATATTGAAAGCACCTCAATCCACCAGAATTTACTTCAGAAGCAGCTCCAAACTACTACTTTCAAAACCAGATTTTTTTTGTTGTTAGAACTGGTTTGAATTCAGGGGCTCATTCTTGGTAGGGCAGGTATTCTACTGTTGAGCCACACTTCCAGCCCCATTCTGTGCTAGTTATTCTTTAGGGTCATGCTTCCTGCCCTGGTGTGCACTTGAACCTTGATCCGCCTATTTAGCCTCCATGACAGGTCTGGGCTATCCACCCAACTCAACTCATATTTTGGCTCAAGAATCTACATTGACACAATGAGAAACACATTGTATGTTTGCCTATTTGAATTCTTAGGTGCAATATCATCTTTCATTACAAAGACAGTTAACAGCCACTAGCAACTTAAGGATAATTAATTGCATTTTTCAGTTTCTTAATCTGTTGAGTCCACTAGATAAACTTTGAGCTGGGCATTGATGGCTAAGGCATGCAATCTTAGCTACTCAGCAGGCTGAGCTGTGAGGATCACAGTTCAAAAGCCAGCTCAGAAAGGGAAATCTGTGAGGCTCTTATCTCCAATAAACTGTCAGCAAGCCAGAAGTGGAACTGTGGCTCAAGGGGTAGAGTGCTAGCCTTGAGCAAAAGCAGCTCAGGGACAGTGCCCAGGCCCTGAGTTCCAGCCCCAGAACCAACAAAAACAAACAAAAAACAACCACACAATAAACAAAACCCAAAAAACAAAACAACAACAAAATCTTTATTCAGGCACCGGGTTCTTTCAATAAAGAAATTAAGATAAGCAATGGAAACATTTCAATACACTTTGAAAAGGAGACAATTCTCATAATAACTATCACAAACTCCAATTTATATGAAGAACAAACAAGGCAATAAGACCTGTTAAGAACTACTTGTGCATTGGGGCTTAGGGAATTTTCACTTTTCTGAAAGCTGGATGTAGTATTGTCAACTGAGAAGGACTTTGTCTGTACACCTGTAGTCAATGGTTTGAAGAGCTATAAATGAGCAAATATAGGCATGCTTATCTGCAACTGGGTACTTAAAAAGAGAGAGAGAGATTAATGGGTGCCCAGCAGAGTGGTTCACACCTGTAATCCTAGCTACTCTGGAGGCTGAGATCTAAGGATTGAGGTTTGATGCCAGCCCCAGGCAGGAAAGTCTGTAAGACTCATCTCCAGTTAGCCACCAGAAAACAGGAAGTGGTCCTATGGCTCAAAATAGTAGAGTGCTAGCCTTGGGCAAAAGAGTTCAGGAACAGCATCCAGGCCCTGAGTTCAAGACAGAGGGGGGGGGGGGGGGGAGAGGGAGAGAGAGAGAGATCCAATTCAAATTATACTGTAGAACTATTCACAATCTAAACTTCCAGCTTTCAATCCCAGCATTGCAGTAGAGGAAGATTAAATAGGTACAGTGTGGTGGGACATACTTCTAATCCCAGCACTTAGGAGGTAGAAGGATCATGGGTTAAAGGCCAGCCCAGGCTGCCTAGTGAGACCCTGGTGATCACCACCAAATTTTTAAACAAACAAACAAAAAAAATCAAGTTACCCAGCTTTAGTCAAGGGAAAAGGTTTGGGGGAAAAAAATCAGAGGTGCAAGGATAGCGTGAAAAGTTAGGAGACACTGGGTGACGCCTTCTGTCTTTTTGCCGCTTTACCCAGAGATAGCCTCTCAACCAGTTCACCTGGAAGATTTGAGGTGCATGATGAAAATGAGATGGAGTAAAACAGGTCAAAGATTTGTCTTTGGTGCTACAGGCATTAGATGTGTAGACAACCAGATGTTGCTTTCGTTCTGGTGGGAAGTGCCATGTTTGTTCCTTGTCAGTCAAGAAATTCAAATTTTGCTTTTTAGCTACATCTTAACAGCATTGTGCTGGGTATAAAAGTGGATCAAAACTGCCCTGGCAGTGAAAATACGGCATATGGTAAGCATAAGATAGATGAGCTCTATTAACCATCTTTAAGGAACAGATGAAGATTTAGCGGAGGAAGAAAATGGAAGCTCAGAAATGGACTTCCCTCACACTTGCCAAGCAGTTTTCAGTAACGAGGCTTCACAATTGAGGTAAAGTATACAGATCATGGAGGGAAAAGTATACTGATTTGTGGCAATTTCCCAACATCAACTCATTTAGTGCTTTGTAGATATTTTCCCAAATCTGTTGGCCCTCAGCATGTTCTAAAAATGGCTCTGTAAATGTGTGCTTGCCAAAAGACAAAGTAGGCCTTTTGTTCTATGTTTGTAAATGAAGGTTTTCAAGACAGGTGCTGACCCAAATCTGGAAGAACTCCTCCCTTTGGGGAAGTGCTCCAGTCACATGTAGAGCGTTTCAGAATAACATTAGAACACGTGCGCATCTAAGTGGATGCAACACGAGCTCACAAAAGCTAACAGAATGCAGTGCAATTCTGGAAGCGTTAGGCCAAAGTCAACTTCTGCATGTGATACAAAAAATACTCTCACATGAGCAACACTCATTGTGCTTATTTCTGTCCTCCACAAGGAACACATCCAACAAGAAGAATTTTGTCTGTGTTTATTTAATTATAATAGAAATACAACAGTGTGTACCAATGGAAACGGTATTCAAGAATGATGGTAACAATGTTCAGTAACAGAAATGACTAACTGGAGTGGGAGGAGTTTCCCAGGTGTCATTAAAACACATTTGCAACATATAATTGGTTATTAGTGGAAATTAAATGGAGTAACTGAGTCCCAGTTCACTTACAAAAGTTATCAAAATACTTTCAAATGTTACATTAAAACTGACAGAATTCACAAATAGTAGATAAACACTAAAACAAAGTATTTCAGAAAAATAAAAAGTATCCTGAGATCAAATGGAAATCACACTTTTCAGAGCAGGGACATACTCTCTTCCTCCTCACAGGCTGCCGGGCAGGCTTTCCTATCATGCATATTCCACGATAAAGGAATGATAACGCACGCTGGTGCAAAATACAGCCGTGAAAAAAAAGGCTTTGGACAAATTCCTCTGATGGAACAGCAGGCCTCCCGTTTCACTAATGAAAACGTTAGAGAGCTGTGACTTGCATTTGGTTTTGACTCCTCGGATAACGGCTGGACACGGAGCAAGGCATTCTGGGCTGTTACACCAACTGACCCAGTCTATGGTTTAAGAAATGTTTATTTTCCGCGCTATTGGTTTTCAAGTTATAAATTCCGGAGCACTTTTTCTTCTTCCTCCTCGTCGCTGTCAGTCACGTTGACTTGCTGGATGCTGGAGGGGGTGGAGGTGGGGGCTGTGAAGACGTTCTCCAGGGCCCCCATGTCCAGCGGGGGCATGGGGCTCAAGTAGCCGTCCCCGCAGTGGCTGTGACTGTTATAGTATGGGGGCCCGTCCATGTTCTCGCAGCCCCGAGAATCTTCGCTGTGGGCGCGTTCGTCTGGGTAGTCTCTAAAAGGATAGTCTCTATTTAAAGCTGAAAACATAGCCTCGTGTTTTTGGTACCTGTCTTCATAGTAACCGAGGCATTCTGGCATTGAACTTGGAAAATTTCCATAGCCAAAGGGAGGCCGACTATAAGGGCACGTGCTGTGACAGAAAGACATAAACAAGGGATTAGAACAGATCCTGCCACACGGTGCCCTGTGTGGGGCTGAGTAGGTGGCCGCATTCTCTTTGGGGCCTAGAGAATCCCCCAGGTCTTTCCTGTAACAAGCTCCGGCTCCCACCCCCTGCCTTGTCCCCATCCAAGGCTTATAGCCAAGAAGGCTGAAGTAATCACAGCATCCACCATCCCTCATCTCTCCACCTCTGCCTCTTACCCGGCATAGACCTTAAGAGAGAAAACGGCTTAACCTGCCCTTCCTCTTAGGATACCTCACACCAGACCTACGCAAAGAAATGAACAGTAAACTCCACGACGACAATTGCTCTCACTGCTATTACAAGGAAGCCTACTGGGACAGGGGGTGAAATCAAGGGCTCTAGGATTTCAAAGGATATTAGATGACAATAATAAAATTAATAATAGAGAGTACTCTTACTATCAGAAGATCTAGAACTGATATTGTACTACAGTCGAAAAGATCTTTTTTCTGCCATCAATTTTTAGAGGGCAGATGTTTAGGAAAGGTTTTCTTGCATTTTACCAACTGGGGTATGTTTTGTTGGTCGTAGGGCTTGAACTTTTGGCCTGAATGCAGTCCCTCAGCTCTTCAGCTCAAGGCCAGCACTCTACCACTTGAGCCACAGCATCACTTCCAGTTTTCTGGTGATTTATTGGAGATAAGAGTCTCATGGACTTTCCTGTCTGGACTGGCTTTGAACTATGATCATCAGCTCTCAGCCTCCTGAGTAGCTAGGATTGCAGGCATGAGCTGTGTGGGTTTTGTTTTTTTTTTGACGCAATGATGTATTTAACCTAGAAGGTATGCATGTTATTTCATGCATTTTCTACATTTTTCTTTATGTTTATAATTGCTTTGTAAAATTAGATCCAAGCTTAGTTGAAGGAAGGGAGAGGTAGAGAGAAGGAGATAGAGAGGATTGGAATAAAGACCTCACTTTTTATTATACCATGTCTGAAGGTGTTTTTTTTTTAATTGTGAAAATACCATACAGAGGGGTTACAATTACATGAGCAAGGTAATGAGTACATTTCTTATCAAGCATTGTTGCCTCCTCCTTTGTTTCCCCTTCCTATCCCTTCTTATCTCCCTGCCCCCCCCCCCCCCCGTCCCCTCTCCCCGAAGGTGTTTCTAATACTAAACAAAATACTAGGCATGTGCACTCATCCTAGAAAAGGGAGAATGAGAAACTCATGTTTTGTTTAAAGGCTAGTGATTTCTTTTTGTAAGTATTCTCTTCTTCAAAAGTACAGAACATCAACTGTGACAAGAGGTGTGAAGTGTACGCAGGAATTGGGCTCACGGATGCCATCTAGTGATGGATAACACAAAGTATAGCAAAACATGCTATACTTTGAGGAGTGCTTGAGAGAAAAATCAGCAAGGGGTCAACTGTAAAAAGCATGGAGAATTGGAAATCAGCCTAGAGAGAGCCAACAGTCACAGCTCAAGTCACCCGAGCTTGTCCCTACAGGGTACCAAGAGAAGGTACCCTTTGGGTCTCATCACTCAGAAGTAGCTGCCAGCACCATGAGCCCAACCCATGCACAATCCCCTCCCCACCCCCCAGAGCCTTGGTGTTCCACAAGCTCACCATTGCTGCGGCTCCCAACCCCAGCACCACTGCCATTCATCCCCAGGACCCTGGGAAGGTCCGACCCCTGTGGGTCCACATTTGTGGCTGAGTGTGCCACAGGACCAGGAGGTTCCTCTTCTCTTCTTCCTCAGAGAGCCAGGAAGCTCTCCATCACATATTCTGTCTTAGGGATTCTGGTTGCCCGTGTTTGCCCCAGGGAACTTCACAATACAAACCTGTAAGATGTGTCGGCTGCCCAGGCGCTGCTGAGCTCAGCTCAGTGCCCAGAGGACACAAGGGCATACTTTTCACAGTCCGCATTCTTTGTAGGTAAGTCCCACTTACTGCAGGGACAGATGCGATCTATGCGAAGACACTCATAGGCACTGCTAATGTCAATCAAAGTCAATGAAATCAGTGACTACACTATGGACCTTACCTATAACCAAAGCCAAAGAATCTACTAGGCTGATCTGCATCTTATTCTAAAGGAAAAGAAAGTCCTATAAAAGCTGTAAAAATGAGAAGAGGGCAGTGTCATACTAAATGTACAGATGGCACTTGTGGGAACAGGGGACATGAACGGAAGTAGGATTAGGCCTGAGGGAAACACAGCCCCACCAATGGCTCTCAAGATGCTTGACAATCATACGCTGAGCACTCTCAAGATGAAAGCAAATGCAGACTGTGCAAAGGACTATGAAAAACAATTTAGGATGTGAATGAGATATGCAGCAAAGAGCTAGAAATCACAAAGGAAACAATAAAAAATTATTGAAGCTAAAAACTACCATCAGTGAAAAACAAGAGAGGGTTTCCACAGCCAACTAGAATGAGAAGACATAATTTCCGAACTTGAGAATAGGTATTTTAAATAAACCCTTTCACACAGAGGGGGAAGAAAGAAGGGAAGGGGAAAAAAGACAGGTGGGGAGTGAGAGAGTGAGTGTCAAAGCTAGATTTCACTCAGGTCTCTTATATTCATTTATGTAACTCATTCACTTATTAAAAGCTAATTGAGCTGTGGACCAGTGGCTTACGCCTTTAATTGTAGCTTCTTGGGAGGATAAGACATGAAGACTGAGGACAGGAAAGTGTGAGACTCTTATCTCCACTTAACCACCAAAAAGTTGGAGGTGGAGGTATGACTCAAGGGGAAGAGCACCAGCCTTGAGTGAAAAACTAAGAGACAGCACTCAGGTCCTAAGTTCAAGCCCCAATACACACACAAAATAAGGGAGCAAGCAAATAAAACAGATTGAACACTGACAGTACACTAAATGTGAATACTAGGCTGCAGACTCCCTCCTCCTGTCTCCATCCCTCCCCTCCCGTGCCAAACCAGGGGCTTAAATGCAAGCCTGGATGCAGTCTCATAGCTCTTTCTGTCAAGGCTAGCATTTTACATTGAAACCACCACAGTTCCACTTCTGGTTTCTTTGGTAGTTAACTGGAAAGTCTCATGGATTTTCCCGAGTATCTAGGATCACAGGCCTCTTAAGCGGGAGGAGTTTCCAAACTGATGGCCAAAATAAAATACAGTGTTGTGAACTCATCTGTGGATGACCTTCATCTGTGATCTTCCAATGGATGCCTACCTTTGGAGGAACTGGGATTTACAGGCATGAGCCACCCACCATTTCATGTCTGCTACGTATACTGAGAAAAGAAAGGTCAACAGCACGCATGTCCTTACTGTAAATCTACTGACCGGTCCCTGCGGCTTCATGCTACCCACGGCATTTCTTCCTTACTCCAAACAACTCTTTTCAGTGTGAATACATAACATCTCACGTCATCCTCTTCCCAAACAATTATTCTATAGTATTGATTTTAAAATCAATCAAAGCCAGTGAAGAAATATTACAGCAATACTGTTGTTTTTTTTTTTATAATTACATGATTACTTTTTTTTGTTGGTCATAGGGCTTGAAGTCAGAGCCTGGCTGCCACTGAGCTTTTTTTCGCTCAAAGCTAGTGCTCTACCACTTTGTACCAGGCTCTACCTCTGGTTTTCTGATGGTTTATTAGAAATAAGTCTCATGGACTTTCCTGCTTGGGCTGGCTTTGAACCTAAATCTTCATATCTCAGCCTCCTGTATAGCTAGGATTACAGGTGTGAGCCACCAGCGCTGGGCTTACATGATTACTTTTATAGGTACTCTTTGTTTTGTTGTTGGGATCCCAATTACTTTAGGGGTTCATTTAATTTCAGCCTTGAATAATGTATTTCCACAATCAGCAGAATCAAGAGAATCTACAGAATTGTAAAAAAAAAATCACTGCAAGCTATTTTTCAGATAAAAGATAAATATCCAGGATATATATATAAAAAACTTCAAAAATTAACACCAGAAGAACAAATGATCCAATTAATAAATGGCCAAATGAACAGATAATTCTCAAAAGCACACGTGGCAAATCAGTGTATAAAGAATTGTTGTATATCCTTAGTCATAAAGGAAAAGCACATCAAAACTACACTAGAAGCCAGGTACAGGTGACTCATGCCTGTAATCCTCACTGAGGCTGAGATCTGAGGTTCGTAGTTCAAAACCAGCCCAAGCAGGTGAGACTCTTATCTCCAATAAACCACTCAGAAAACCACAAGTGGCACTGTGGCTCAAGTGGTAGAGCACTAGCCTTGAGCTGAAGAGCTGAGGGACAGGGCCCAGGCCCAGAGTTCAAGCCCCATGACCAACCAAAACCACAAACAAAAAACCTACACTATATTCCCCAAACAGAATTGTAAACATCAAGAACACAAACAACATGAATGATGGTAAGAATGCAGTGGGGGGGGGGGGGGGGGGAGGGAAGGAACCCTTATATACTCTTGGTGGGAATGTAAATTAGTACAGCTATGATGGAAGTCAGTACGGACGTACCTCAAGAAAATAAAAGTATAATAACCATAGGGTCTAGTGATACTATTCCTAGACATATATCTGAAGGGATTTAAATGAGCATAAAAATATAAACGTGCCAGATGTTGGTGGCTCATGCCTATGATTCTAGCTTCTCAAGAGACTAAGATTAGGAAGATCACAGTTCCCAGCCAGCCCAGGCAGTAAAATCCATGAGAACCCATCTCTAATAAACCAGGAAATGCCAGATTGAACATATGGTTGAGGTGGCAGAGGACCAGCTGTGAGCAAGCAAGCCAAGCAAGAGCTCCAAGTTCAAGCCCTAGTTCCTACACAAAACCTAAAAACAACAAACTCATACACTAATACTTATGGTAGCACTATTTTTAACAGCCAAGTATGGAATCATGTCTATGTGCCCATTCACATCATTGAATGGATGAAGAATGATGTATAACTCTGTCAAAAGGAAACTAGAGACCATCATGTGACATGAAATACACCAAAATGACAAAGTGT